GTGAACATTTAAACGGACGACATGTGACATATTCGTTTGATAACAGTTTCATCCTCTTTTGATCGCACTTTTCCAATGTCCAATTTATCTTTAGGTTATGTTGTAGGTTTTGGATGTTTTTATGTTTAACAATAAGATCTGAAATCTGATGTTTTCTAGCTTCGTTTTCAATGTTTCAGATCGGCATCGAATTCTATTTTTAAATTTTCTTTGAAATCGAATTCGATATGATCGTCGAAATCATTTGTATAATTTTTTTTTTTTCCTTTTTCTCGCCTCTACCCTAAAGGGTCATTTACCCTAAGGGGCGTTTTCTATGATTTATACTCTGTTATAGTAGTTTACAATTTTTAAAAAATTTAACACGATCGAGACTCTTTCTTCATTGTCTTTTAGTATTTCGTTTAGTGTTTTTGCTAGTTCTATTTTTTCTCTGAGCCTTTCGAATTGGGAACATTCTACTAGAAGGTGTTTCACAGTTTGCGGTGTATTGTTACATTTCTCGCAAGTAGGAGCTTCTAGGCCTCTTAAAAGATAGCTATGAGTGAACTGGCAGTGCCCAATCCTCATTTGTATAAATTAAAATGTGACAATCGTTGAATTTATAATTAGATATCTGATCTAAATTAGATCGTTGGAAATCATTCTCTAGGTCACTTTTGGATCGGTATTCGTGTAAATCTATCACATTATTGGTATCTGTTCGTTGCAAAATTCGTAAATTTTCATTATAAATTTCTTCATAGTGTCAATACCCAATAAAATATCATACGACAAGTTATCGTTCTTGACGACGTAAGTTATGAAATCGGCAATATTTCCAATTTGAAGTAAAATTGTAGCCCGGGCTGAGGTGAAATTTACTTTGCTGATGTATTTCAGTAAACTATTTTGTTCAATTAATTTCAACTTGAGCAAATCAGCAATTCATTGATTAATTAATGTAACGTTAGAGCCATAATCATAAGTAGCTGTTGTTTTTATCCTATCGTTGATTATTGCATTTAATTTTATGAACGGATCTAATTTCGCCCGGTTTTTTAGTTTAAATGTTTGTTTCCCAGATTAATTTTTAATATTTCTAAGTCGTAAATATCTGGAGACCCTCCAGTTATGTTCGAATTCAGTTTTTCTGAGATTTTATTTCGATTTCGGCACTCCTATATGAGATGGTAACGATTCGGAAAACCAAGAGCCACACAAATTGAACATAACTTTCGTTGAATTTCATTCCTTGATTGAAATTCATCTCTCTTAAAAATGGCTTTGGACTAGAAGTTTGATTAAACCTAAGACTTGAGGGATTTTCCTTCTTATTTATAGAAAAAGAGTCCTCTAGTTTTCCAAGTTCAGCGTATAAGTCTTCAAGTCCTGTTATATATTTTTTTTGAGCTTCTTCCGGCAATCCAAAAACTATCTAGATAGTTCAGTACCCTTAAGTTCTGCTACAAAGCATAACCTTTTCTGTTTAAGGGCATAATAAATTAAAGACCCGCCCAAATATTTGTAGTTGGAACCTTTCGTGGCAACGTTCCAGCTTTTATTAACAAAAACGTTCAAGAATGACTTCTTCCCATTTCCCAATGACCATTTATACCCATTTCCTTCAGATTTATTTCGAACCGATCTTTTTCTGGGCAAGAGACAAAAAAACGCAAAGCTTGAATTTTACTACTATCGAAATTTATCTGTAAGTGGCTACACTCTTCTTTAGATCTACTTAACCATTCTTTAGGATCAGATTGGTTGTTTTTTTCAAATATTCTAACACTACATTTGTTCAGTTTCAGCAACTCTGTAAATCGATCTTGGAACACATTCCTCTAACGGCAACAAGCGTCGTCAGCTTCATCAAAATATTCTTTTTTAATATATTCATCGATTTTTACTGTAACTGTTCTATAAACATCTTAGTTCTTAGTAGCAGATATTACATTTTTTATTGTATTTTAGACAAAGTAGTGAGGATACTTGAATCTTAAAATTCTTTTAATACCAAATACCAAGTATTCTTATCAATGGAAATGAAATTGCATCGCAAATTCTTTCTCGGGTTTCTTAATAACTTGAAAATAAAGTTTATCCATCCTTTACCAGTTGAAAACTTGGTTTGTAAAATTTTTTCTTGTATGATTGTTTTAACGAGATTTTATTCTTTTGTATAAATAATTAAATTACATGTATTTTCACTAGTAGAAATTAATTAATTATATATATATATATATATATATAAAACAATGTATTACTTTTGTTTTAAATAATTTTTTACTGACAAAGAATACTGTCAAAAAACAAGAGGAATAATTGCTAAGTATAAATAATTTTAAAAAGTAATAATACAAAAAAATTGTAAAAATAAATAAGAAAATGGTGGATTTTGATTGACTCTAATTAAATAATTTTCTCTTCAGAAAAAAAAAATTGAATGAAATCAAATAATTTTTCGGTTGTTATTTTTCCTGAAAATGCATGTACTATGGGGTGACAGAATATAAATTCACATAACTTTTAACGCAACCCGAGAATAAAACTTTATTCTACAACAAACCTTAGCTAAATTGATATGTAATTAAAGCTTATTAAAGAAGGCAGTTCTTTATAAAAGTTATGTATCTGCAGAATGATAAAAAAACATCACAACGGAAAATGTGAACATCGTGAAACTTCAGGGGTGATTGAATGATAAAATCTTAAGATATGTTGATATGCAGGATATGTCGTAAGTAGGGGATATATTTAGTATATATAGATAGTTCACCTCAAGAGCTATGAAAAAAAGTTCATATAAACAATGGTCGGGTATTCGGCAGTTAAATAATAGGAAATTTAAGTTCTGTATTTTTTTTTAGTAAGTAGTAGTTTTTGATGAATAGGAAGCAATAACTAAAACATAATCTAATATGATTAATTAAAAATTGATTCACTGTAAACTAGACAAATTTACTTCAAACGAAAGTGGAGTTTGTCAAAACCATTCGAAGAGGACTTTTGAGTGATTAAATTAAATTAAATTCTCTTTTTAAAAAATCATGAATTACTTGCGATTTTTATTTTTCACGCTCCAATTATACCAGAGACACCCCACTTTTAGGAAAACTTTCTTGTCTAGTAAGCTTCAAGTCCGCATTAATTAAGTTGAGGTGTTATTACGAAATAAGTTGGAACCCACCTCAAGCTATGTAAAAAAATTATGTGTTCTGATATCCTTTAAGTACTTATGGTAGGTGACTTATAGTCACATAAAAGCACCTTCAAGTTTTCATGACAGTTGTCATGGCAAACATGACTACAATAAATTATTGCAAAGCTTTAACTTATTTTTCCCTTTATCTGGGATGTATTATGTAGACATGAATTCGTAAATAAACTTTTTATTTTTTACAAAAAAATGTTAAATGATTTTTAAAATATTTATTATTTAAAATGGCAATGAAACTGTTTGAAGCTCTGTATTATAGAAATTGAACCCTATTTATACGTGATCAATTAAATGTTTTAAATTATAATATTTAGGATTTCATGAAAATAATTCAATAAATCAGGGTGCTTCTTCATTCTGCACGTAGATATTAGGATTCGAAACGTTGAATTGGTCACTTATAAATACGGATAATACAACTACTATAATAGAGATCTTAATTAAAAAACTCATTTTTATTATCACTTTAGCTGATAAATATTATTTTTCTTGTAATAAATAAAAACTGTATTTACTAATTTATGTTTATGATAATACATCCCAGGTAATCGGAAATTTTTAAAAAATTTATTTAATGAAATTTACAACTGTATAAACAATACAACTAGTAAAAATGCACACATTGGAAATATTGACATGAACAGACTTGAACAGACTTGCCCAGTGGTAGCACTCTCTATTTAATTCTAGGTGAGATCAGGTGGCCATCTTATTTTCAGACTCCTAGGGGGATTATCAGGATTCGAGGAAGAAGCAAGGCTGGAAACAAGTGGATTTGGATGGGACTGAAGTTTATCATGAAAGGATAGATATCTGACTCGGGCTAAATCAGCGAACTGAAAAAAAAAATTAAAGCTTTGCAGTAATTTATTGGAGTCAATTTTTTTTTTCAAAACACGGGTATTTAAAGGTGACATGATATCAAAACACCTCATTTTTTTTACAAAACATGAGGTGAATCTCAACTTATTTCGTAATAAACCCTCAACTTAATTCAATTAATATTGACTTAAAGCTTATTAAACAAGTCCTGATAATGGGTTTTGTTTGGTCCAGTCGATGCCTTTAAGATAACTATTTCCAAGCTATCAGAAATAGTCTTGTCAAACGACCCAGAAAGTTATGGGAATTGTCAATACATGATTCTCCAATTGGCACAGTTAACAAACTCAATTATTAAAATAAAGGTTAAATTAATATTATTATTATTATTATTTGTTACGAATTAAGTCCATTCCGTAACTCTTGAAGTTGGTACGGCATTTCAGATCCATCTAGTACTACATATTTTGACTTAACTGCAGAAGCCGCCTTTTTCTACAATCAAACCATGTTCATACAAGCGACATAGCCATAATCATAAATCACTATTTCGCAAAACCTTTAATTAATTAATAAAGATCGTTATAATTCGCCTATCTTCGGTAATTCAAATTTTTAAGTGTGGTAGGTGTATTCTTGATAATATTCGAAAATATAAAAGGAAATTCTAAATACGTTATCTTGTGTTTGGGTTATTTATTAAATTTAACATTTTGCAAATAATTGAAAGTTGAGTAAAATGTAATAAAAAAAACCTTTGTGGGCCGTTAGGTAGGAGACCTTAAGACTTAAGAGAATAAACCTGAAGATGACTTGAAATTTGGCCGAAACTTTGTAAGAAGAACATGAAGTTATAAATGCTAAATATCTAAATTTTTAGTTGCATATTGAAAACCAACAATGATATAGGACAATAAACACTTATATATTTAGAGATAGGAGGCATAGGATACAAGTATATAATTTTATAAATACTAACATTTTGCAGAGATGGGGTCTGGCCTGCTGCCTTAGGCATTTCTGACTCAGCAAGAGATGGAGCAGTTGTATCCTCTGTCTTGGAGGAATCACCTTCAGTATGATTACTGCCGAGGGGCATCGTTGGTTCGGTTGTTCCTGAGCTGGAGTGGTCTTCTTTGATTTCTTCATTCTGGCTTTCACTAGTAAGCAATTCATCTGGTGGGGCGGGAAAATCTTCTTCTTGAGCCTCTATGTCTAAACTATCTTTCACCTGTGGAGGAGTCATGAGTGACTGAGTAGCATTTTCAGCTTCCTTACAAATTCTGTCGACTTCAGCTTGTGCAATTTTCATTAGACTTTCAGGTAAATGCTTCGCCTTTTCTTCTTCAGTTTCGGATATTATTGATTCACTCCTTGTAGATAAATCATTTTCCTGTACCTCTACTAGTCCTTTCTTGTCAAACACTTCTGGGGTTATCGTTAGACTTTCATTTAACAGGTTTTTTTCTTCCTCAAAACTATTTTCCTCTTCTTCTCCCAACATCTGCTTGATCACTTCTTCATCCTCATCTTCTTTCAAATGTTTTCTTACTTGGTATCCTCGAAAACTAGACTGAATTATGGTTGCAGCTGCTATCGTTTCATGATCGTCTTCTTTCACTTCAGGTTTTTCCATAACTTTATTTTCTTTTTCTATTTGTTCCCCCTCAACTTCTTTATCATGAATTTGTTCCTTAGTATAATGATTTAGACTTACTGTTAGATCTGTTTTTTCATGTTCTTCTATCTGTTCTTTTGTTTCACTTGGCTCCAATTTTATGATATCACTTACTCTTTCATTATTTTCGAGTTCAACTTCTTTTTCTTTAGATCCATTTACTTCACCTTCAACTGCATTTTCTTCAGATTCTTTTGAATCTAATATACATTTCTGCTGATTCTCACTTTCTTGATTTTCAACAGGTGTTTTTTGTATTATTGTTTTATCTATTATATCAATGTCCGCTTCTTTTTCTTCATTAATTTGCATTTCCATTTCTTTTTCGTCATTCTCCTTATCCTGAATATCATATTCAATTATTTTAAGTTTCGACGTATCAACAAAATTTTCTGGATCTTTTTTTATGTCCTGTTTTGGCTCCTTTTCCTCTTGAGAATTTTCAGAAGTAGAAATTGTCTCTTCAGATGTTTCAGGAATGGAAACCGCTGAAATCTCTATTTCAGAAGAATGATCACTCATATTGTGAGCTATTTCAATTGATTTATCAATATTTACTTCTTGTTTTTCGTCGGGAACATCGTTTGGTGTTGACGATTCCTCCGTGACTTGTCCAGGTTTTTCGGAGGAATGCAAACTTGGACTAACTGCGGTATTACTTATCGAGACATCCTTGGAGTTATTGATATTTTCACTTATATCAGTATCAAGTGTTATGGAATTAGCTGTAGCAGAAAGTGACGCAACCATTTCTCTTAGTTCTAGTGCTTTTGCAGCTTCTCTTGCTGCTTCTTCTCCTTCAGAATTGAGGTTTTCAGAAAGTGACATATCAGAGAGACTGTTTGTTTTCAATTGTTCACTTGATATATCATTTTCTTCTTCAGTTTTTGAAGCTTCTGGGGAAACTTGTTCTGATTCCGGTGTTGTTTTGCTTAATTCTTCAATGGAAATCGAATTTTTCTTTGGACTTTCTTCATTAATCAGTTCCGTTTTTTGTTTTTCAATAGATACATTTTTTTCAAAGTCCTCTTCTTTTTTAAAACCACTGTCTCCTGGATGATTTACCTTACTAACAATTTCTTCTTTTTTTACTGACATTTCTTCTACAATTTTAGGCTCATGAGCTCGATCTTTCTTTTCTTGATAGTCGACTATTCTAACTGGTTCTTTTTCTATTCCAACTACAATATTCGTGGAGTATGCATTTGTGGATTCAGGCGTAGACAATGTTTCTAATTTATCATGTACAGACACCAAAGATTGGTCAATGTTCCCTTCTTTTACTGTTATTTCATCTGTATGTTCCACTTCTTTGTCTTTTACTTCACTTCCTTCCATTATATCTTCTATTTTCTCTTTCTTTTTTCCCACATCTTTTTCTTCTTTTATTTCATCTTTTCCTTCCCTAAGTTGATTCCCTATATCAATTTCTAGGGTGTGTAAATCTTCCTTATTTTCCAATATACCCTCACATTTTTTACTTTGTTCTTCTATACTTTTATTCAAAGTATTAGCAACACCTTCAATGGGTACTTCTTCCTTTTCAGTGGAAACTACAATGTCTGTTTTATCTTTCTGAGACAAAACTTTGGAGGTGATTTCATTGGCATCATTTATTTCAGTTTCGGCCAGTGATTGTCCGATGTCAGCAATCGCTGGTTCACTTAACTCCTTCACTTTAGCGGTTGTTCCCAGAATAGCAACAGTCCCTGTAGACGCAGCAAGGGTCCTAACAGCAGTTGCTTCGACACCATAGGATGTATCATTGCTTTCTGGTTCTTCAAGTGGTTTTTCATCTGTAACTGAGCTTTTCAGTTCTTCTTCAGCATGCGTCTCTTGGACTGAGGGCACCTTTTGTCCAGTCTCCTCCGTCGGAGATGGTGAGAGCCCAGAGGACTGGGCTGAAACAAAACAAGAATAAAATATATATTAAATAAAATAATAACAAAACTAATTTTTTTAAAAATAGCTTATTTTATTCTCTACATCCTATTTCACTTAATTTTATTTTTATTAAACATATAAAATATATGTTCATTACCTAGTGTGGTTACAAGAGAGCTAGGAAAAAGAAAGAAATCGAACTCAAAACCTCAACTAAGTTGATTTTGTACATATAAGAGATTTTGTATATTTTTATCCATTGTTTTTTCATTGTATGCACAAATAAAGGATATTATTATTATTATTATATAAAATATGTGAAGTACAATTTGACAACAATTTTTTAATAAAAATAACATTGCTAGTATCTACTTTCCAGAAAGACAATAGTTCACATCTTAGGTATTTTAGAGATTTTTTTAGTTGTAATTCATTGATTTCTTTAAAATTAAAATGCCACGTTAATTATATATTGAGGTGAAAATTATCATGATTTGATTGAATTAAATGCAGTCATGCCAATTAAATGAGAATAGCATTTCTTTGTAAAAAGGCTATGATACAATAATTCAAAACAACTTCAATCGATCGAAATAATTATCTACATTCGTGTGAATTTGTGAGAAAATGTATTTCTCCGATTTATTTATATTACTTAACACTCCATTTCATAACTTTGTTACCGTTTACTTGGTTAACGTTACTTTATTTTTCATTCAATAATTATTGATTTTACTTTCACTACCTATTATATATACTTGTCTACTTTATTGTTTTTTTTTCATATTGTGTCACATAGTCCATTATCCTCTTACATTAAAGTTTAAAAAATTTACTACATTTTAATTTAAGTACTACTTATCATGGCGGTATTGGCTTACCAATACATACAGTGCTTATATATTTTAATTGATATTACAATACTTAATTGTTAATTACTAATTACAATTAATTTATGCAGATAACATATATTTTTGTTTTCATACCTTTTAAAAATAGATTTTTAATAATTTTTGTTTGATTATTATCTTGTCTTTTCTCAGCTCTGATGAAGGCCTGAAACTTGAGGACAAATGTCGGCACAAAATAAAATACTTTTTTAAATATTTTTATTTTGTTTTCCACTGTCGCTGCACCCCCAACTGGCTTCCCAACCATATTATATACAATCAACTATTTCTCCGCGATTTATAAAATTTATTTCTTTAGTAATATAACATTCTGTCAATTGGACAATATCTTAGACCACAGTCACTATATATACACATACAAATATAAAATAAACAGAAGAAAAATAACGACTAAATAATAATAAAAAAGTATTGATAAATAAAAATTCTTTAAAGATAAGTAAATTTAAAAAAAAAAAAAACTCAGACATACCAATACAGGGTGTCCCGTAAGTAGTGGGACATTTTTATAAGAGCTACAAAAAAGTTTATATAAATAATGGGCCAATTTTTAGCAGAAAAATGGGAAATCCAAGTGTTGTGTTTTTTTAAGTAAGTCATGTTTTTTTTGTTAAATAGCAAGAAATTACTAAAGAAATATTTAATTTAAGTAATTAACAATTGCTTCGCTGTAAACAAGACAAAATTTACTTTAAATGGAAATAGTTTGTAGTTGAATGATGAGAAAAAAAAACGAATAATTTATGACATTTAAAAAAATAGAATTTAGCTAAGTATAACCGCTCAAAAGTCATCTTTAAATGGTTTTAACAATGCCAAACCCTGCTGCATTTTAAGGTAAATTTTGTGTAGTTTACGTTGAAGCAATTATTGACTATTTAAATTAAATATTTCTTCAATTATCACTCCCTATTTAACAAAAAACCATGACTCACTTAAAAACAAACAAATCTTGAATTTCCTACTTTTATGCAGGGAATTGGGAAATTGTTTATATGAACTTTTTTGTAATCTTAATTTCTACTACATCGCTTATAAATATTTCCCTATACTTACGGGACACCCTGTGTACACTATTACAAAGAGGCGAGAGAACTCCGAGGAAAGCTTGTCCCTCCATAGTTGGCTCCCAGGAATTCTCTGCGTTGCTACTTCCTCAACCGCGCTAGTAGTTCTTAAGCCAGTCACCATCATTAAAAATACGTTTTCGGCTAACGTATTAGAATAGCATTAATTTATCTGTTTACTTTGGAGGTTATGAGCTAGCTGATAAAACAAAAGAATGCGAATAAAACGGCGAAAATCCATCTCATTAACAGGATTTGCGTAGGAGGGAAATCGTCCGGAAAAACCTCGGCTCCAAAATAACATTTATAACCAGAGCGATCTGGGGACAAAGAGGAGAAAACTCATATATCTGCTAACACAAACTGTTCAATCAATATTTTATGATAAGAAGGGAAGGAAGTTAAGATGGAAAGCGTATGTAGCTCGGAGCAATCCTTCTAGAAGCCTTACACGGACTTTACACAACTATGATTACCTCAATAGAAGGAAAACGACCAAGTGGAAGGCCAAAATCCAGATAGAAAGGTAGAATCAACGCAGATTCAAAAGAGTTGAATGCGGGTTACTGGAAAGAAGATGGGCAGAGATGGAAATGGTTAATTATGGTTGCATAAGATCTACAATTAATACCAGAATAGTAATAATGAATAGAAACAGAAATTATAAAAAAGGGGTTAGCAGAAAGCTTTTCGTTTCATACTCCCAATAGTTGTGTTTCTATAAACAATTTTTAGTCTACTTTATTAAGCTGGATACAAAAGAAGACACTGTTTATCAACATGCCTACAGATTTTCTTTTCTGACGAGAGTATGTTTAATATTTCTGGATCTGTTGAATATGCTTTTTAAAATAAAAAATTAATATTAGACTGTTTTATATTCTTTGCCTTGCGCGAGCTCATTGCCGCGTATGGCGAGCGTCCCACGGGTGGCGGATGTAGGTAGGAATTTCCACCCGGCTAAGTCCGACGGACTCACTGACCAAAAATGAGAGAGGCCCTCCAGACTTAATGGAGGGTGTGACGCAAGATTGAACGCCCTACTCAAATATCTTTAGTTCACCATACACCACAAATAGTCATGGATCTCCCTAAGGTAAAATCCTCATTATCCGTAGGTAAATTAGTCTCCCGTTCGGGTCTCCGAGTGGGGACTGCGTTACGGGATTCATTGAGTAAGTTGAAAAATAGGGATTTAAGTATTGGTACGTGGAACGTAAGGAGTTTGAATTCAGCAGGTGGGTTAAAATCGAATGAGTTTAATGGGTACATTTTACAATAACTGCTATATTGTGGCGTTTAGTTATAAGATTTGTTTGATATAACAAGTTACAGGTACTGGTGGGGTGAAATATTCCGGTAAGTGAGCCCTATGGTGGTCCCGTTTGCCAACCTCTGACGAAAATTAACCGACCCAGGTGGAAATCGAACACACAACGTTCAGAAATGGACACTCTGAGATGCACGACCCAACGTGCTTGGTGACACTGTTTTATATGTAAGTTAATTAGAATTTTCAATACCTATAATAATACGTTGTACATTCAAGAGAATTTTAGTTTATTAGTATAATTTAATATCTGGATAAGAAGTTGGGTATAAGAACTTAGAAACTTACAATGTAGTATTGGTTAACCAAATTCGTCAATATTTGGGTATACGAACACGGAATTTGTTTGAAGATGGACAGATTGAAAAGACAGTAACGTTATAAGTTGTTATAAGTTATAACTTTAACAGTTTGGGAACAGTTATGTTCTGATAAGAATATATGCAACTTGTTCCTTTGATAGTAGCAGGTTATAATGTTACAATGTTAATTTTTTACTGAATATTTAATAGTTGACCGTTGCATTATAAAGGAAGGAGATGGACCGGGGTGGCGGTCATAAATAGGCTAAATAGTGGTAAAACTATTTTTATTAAAAGCCGACATTTCGACCCGACTTTGCAGATCTTCTTCAGGGCTAGAACGGACAATATACAAAAAGATAGAGAATTGCGGAAATTGCATAATATTTAGACAAAAAATTATAAACAATGTGAATAAGCTTATAAAATTGTAAACAGTAAGTAAATTAAAATAAGAACAAAGTAAGCTAAGTAACAAGACCCTAAACTGAAGTAAATAATGAAACAAAATTAACTAGAGATCGAAATTAAAAATTAATTAGGTTTTTTAATTATGCGTTAATAAACAAAATGTAGTTTTTAATTATCTTGAAAGTTTTCCGGGTTTCGGCTATTTAAAACATCGGTTTTCCGATGATCTTCCAGATCATTAATTCATTTTATATACTTCTTGTAATAAATCTTTTTGAAAAATATTATAATAAATATTATATTTATATTCAATATTTAATAGTTGACCGTTGAATTATAAAGGAAGGGCATGGTCCGGGGTTGCGGTCATAAATAGGCTAAGTAGTGGTGAAACTATTTTATTAAAAGCCAACGTTTCGACCCAAATTTGCATGTCTTCTTCAGGGCTAGAACGGACAAGATACAAAAAGGTAGGGAATTGGGGAAATTACATAATATTTAGACAAAAAATTATAAACAATGTGAATAAGCTTATTAAAATTATCAACAGTATGTACATTGAAATATGAACAAAGTAAGCTAAGTAACAAGATCCTAAACTTAAGTAAATAGGTGCTAGCAATTGCTGTAGTGTAATATATAATAAATGCGAATGTGAATATACTTCTACAGATCTACAGGAGAGATTGGAAGAAAAGGAAAAAGGATATAATATGAAATAATAGACATAGAGGAATGTGGAGAAAGAATAGAAAAAAGAAAACCAAAAAATTAAATAAATAAGTAAATAAAATTGGAAGAATAAAATTAGATACTTACAGGTGTGTTCAGCTAGGAGTTTCACTTAGAACTGGAAAACCAGGGTAAGGGCAGGTATTGGGGAAGCTGACTTGTTTGGGTAATGGGGAAAAACTTAGAAAATTACAGTATCAAAACTGTAATTTAATACTGTAATTTTCCCCATTACCCAAACAAGTCAGCTTCCCCTATACCTGC